TGCAGTTATTGCATTTATTACTCATCAGAAAAGTTAAGTGACTAATACCATTGTGCTCATTGGTCTTCCCGAAGGAAAGGAGAGGATAACTTTTAACCCAGCTTCTAGACTGATCTATAGTGTAGACCTATAGGAAAACACAACGGCAGCAGTTACAGCTAATAGTTTATGCATAGAAGTGAAAGGATTTTTCTGCATTTTGTCTTAGTAATGAGCATATCTCTTCCATAGTGGCTCATTAAAACATATTACACTGTTTTCACCATAAGTTTACTCAATTTATTAGTGAAACAATAGTTCCACTGTTCTTATTGAACGGATGAAGAACACAGTATTGCTGTTTTAGCCCAGAACAATTTTAGTTATTCTTTTGAAAAGCACCTTAGGTTTTTCCCTTCCAAATTGCTTATAACATCTTTAACATTCCCCCTCCTTTTTTTTGCAATAAAGGCCTTCATAATAATTTTTATTACTAGCCTAGTTCCAGGCAGGCTTAAAGTACCTCAGAGTATGCTGTAATATACACAAGACTTTGAACAACCTTTGTGAAAGAACCAACCATTGCTACAATCCAAAAACTGCATGTGGCTGAAAACTACACTCATTGCTATCCTATGAAGAAAAATATCATCAAGTATAAAACCATCCGTTGCTATCTAGATTTCCTAGTGAATGGCTCAAAGAGCTGCTTCACAGGGATCCAGAGACATTTCAAACACCATGATGGGAAGCAACTCAAAATCTAGCAGCCCTGGTGGAAGTGCTTGGTGGTGGTACCTGTGTCAGATTTCCAACAGGTTTTCACTGGCCTGTTGTTTTCACTTTTATTAAAAGAAAACAAAAACAACCACAAGCCACAGCATCAGGAATTTACTTTTTCAGGCTACTTTAGCAACTGGGGACAAACACCCTGTCAGACTGGATCAATATAACTTGGATATGTGGAGTCAAATGCAGTTTCCCGACCAGGTCAACAAACACTAGCCACCCATTTATTACAGGTATTAGAATTCTATTGCCACGTGAGCAATCAAGAGGGCTTAGAAGACAGCTGGACACATTTTATTTCTACAGTTTGTCTTTATGAAAAGGACTGTGATTAAAAAGGAACCCTATAAATAGTAAAAAGGGAGAACCAATGCTCCATGGCCAGAAGCTATGGTGCCAACACATCTGTAAACAAGGTAAAGGTACTTAGCCCGTGATAATGCTGCAGACAGCTGCTAGTGTTTGTTACAAGAGTTGGCACAAGGGTTTAATCTTCAACCTTGTTGCCCTAAAATGGCTAAATTCTCAGTTATTTATCCATGTATCTATTATATATATATATGTGTGTGTGTGTGTACACATATATATACACAGATTTATGTTAGTGTCTCATGTACCCAAGGCTCCTCTCAAATTCCCTATGTAGCCAAATCTGACTTGTAACGTCTGACCCTCCTGCCTGCCTCTACGTCTTAAATGCTGGAGTTATAGGTGTGCACCACATTTGGTTTATGTAGTGCTGAGGATCGAGCTCAGGGCTTCTTGCCTGCTCAGCAGGCAGCCTGCATCCAGAGGTACCCCCCTCCCCCCAGGGTACCACATGCCATCTACCCCTTCCTATAGGAAGGGACAGCAGGAGCCAATAATGGCTCTTGTTTACAGGTGGGCTTGAATGCAACATCCAGCAGCACTGCAGGAACCACAGCCCTCTGCAGGGTTCCTAGGAGAATGCATAGGATGGTCAGATGGTCGGAGTATCCTGTAAAAGCCTCTACTTTTACAGGAAGATGCTGGAAGTAAATAGTAGGAAATTCAACAGGTGGCCAGGGGCTTTACATTCAGTTATCTGGAAGCAGAACAGATTCAGCTCCCCTGAATCTACTGGATCATCTTTGAAGTACACTAAGAAGAAAAGTCACTTGAGGATAATATAGTCTTTGCTTCAAAGCTGAATCCCCAACAACAGGAACAAGACTCAAGGGACTGACCTCAGGGAATCCACATCGGTGAACTTCTTACTAAGGGCTACCTGAGAACACAAATGTGGTGGCTAGGCCAGGAGGACGGAAATCGTCCTCCACGATTGGAGTGAACCCCAGTGCTGGAAATGTCTTTTCAGATCTACTCACTTTAGAAACTCAGTTTTGTTTTTTAAAACCAAACCAATGACTTGAACTAAAAAAAATTAATTCAAGGTCATGCACAATCAGCAATAAATTATTAAGGAGCAAAAGGTCCAATGGGTAGGAGAGAAAACAAATCTTAAGTCTTCGAAGAAAGGAGGGGCTCAAAACCATTTAGTGTATTTTGATAGAGGAAGAGAAACAATATTTTCATTATGGCTTTAGGATGGAAGCGCTTTAGGGTCCCCTGCCCCACTCCCTTAAATCAAAGCCTTGGTGGCAGTGACAGTACCAGGAA